TCTCTCTCTTTGTCTCTCTCTCTGTCTCTCTCTCTCTCCCCCTTTCTCTCTCTCATACACCAGTCATATTCGTTTCCTTTCATCATCGCTCATATTATGTTACTGCCCGTGACAGGCTTCCAATCCAAAGGATGGTTTCACCTCAACATAGTATCTTACAGGGAACTGTACAAAAGCATTGTATCCAATGCCCCCCTTCAGACACCAAGCTAGCACCCGCACAAAAAAACTCTTTCAGAAGTCTCATACAAACGACACATAGCATGCCCGTGAATCAGCATTTCTTGTTCACGCAGCGGGCAACAACTCTGTGTAAATAAAGCCTTAGCACCCAGACGAAGGCGTCAAATAAATAAGATGCAATAATATACACAATGAAAAATGACTGCAAAATTAATGAGAGTATATAGTGGCTTTGCTTTCATTTTACAGCCAATTAAATAATAAGTACAATACAAAGGATATTCGTCAAACGTATTATCATGACAATGATATAATTCTAAGAAATAATTTGAAAAGAAAAAAAAATTGATCATTGAGGAGACAGATGCAGATGATTATTTGGATATGACCATTGATGTACCCTGAGGTCCTGTAATATTTTCAAAATTGAATGAAAATTAACTCAATCAAATATCTTGATCAAGAAATAGGTCGTGCTGCCAGAAATACAATAATTTCATAATTTGGAGTACTTCTGCATACAGAAATACATTTCTATCTATTTCAACGAAAGAAAAATATTTTAAGCTACTCAGTAGAGAGTAGACATCGTTCTGCAAACAAATAAATATTTGATCGATCCATTCGTTTTTAAAGGAAAACGAGGGAGGCAGAGGATGCTGAGCAAAGGAGAGGAAGAAAATGAAGCAACAAATTTTGTTATAAGTTATAATTCATCTTGCTTTTGAAAATTCAAAAAAGAACCGAACATTCCACCAGCTTGGCAGACGTGTGTTCTGAATCAATGAAAATCTAGCAAAGACTATTCATTTTCATCTCTCCCAAAGGTTACATGCCTGCATGAAATAGAACAATTAAAGGTGTAAAACAAAATAGAAAGAAAATAAGCCGAGGCATTAAGAAAGTAGGACGAGACAGGTTGAACTGAAAATAGCAAAAGTGAGCTAAAAGTCAACATGAAACACATCCTCACTCACAGCACTCGTATGAAATCAACAATTAAACTTTTTACAAAATTACAAAAATATCCAAGTAGGTATCACTGGGCTCCTCCCACCTTTTGCCGTAAAACCAAAAAAAAAAAAAAAATAAACAGGTCGGCTGCTTTACTCACTCACAACACATGAGAAAAGGCGAATGGCAAAGTATAACAGAACCGCCAGGTATATAGATCTAGTAGACTTCAAGTCAATGCAACCAACGTGGTCAACAGCTCGTTGGTTAATGCTTTTGGCTTCAGACAGCTGTTCAAAGAAAAAAGCAGGATCGTTCGTCTGTGCGAAACAACATTATAAATGTACACTACGTATAAACCGTGATGCATTCTGTCTTGTAATCTTTGGTAAAGTTTTTTTGTATTTGCATTGTGTAATATCTCTGTCCTTCCCTGAAGCTTTCAAGAGTCAGTCGGTATCGGCACATCAGAAAAGATAATGAGGCCCGTAAGGAGTTTGATTGACTAAAGTGTCATGATGTCACTTTCACAACATGTGACATTGGCGTTGAGTTCAAGAGCCAAAAATTCCTTATTCACACCACCTCATTCATGTAGTCTTGAAGTACGGGCCTGTTCATGTTTGTGTGCAACAGCAGAGAGTGCTGTTTAATGTCTTTAAGAAAACCCCTAGTTTTGATGCTTCGGGAGAATGCAGATCAAGTAGAAATTTGGAGGAGGAGCCTGGACTGCGTTCATCGTTCCATACTCTTGTATGTTACACACACAGAGTATTTAACGGTAGTTCATCTTCGGCTCCTCTCATTCCGTGCATTGTTGTTCGACGTATGTCTATAATGTAGGGACAGTCCGTAAAAAAGACATTGGAGGAATGATTCATAACTCAAAACGAGGACAATTTGATGTCTTGTCAGTGACAGATTGAAGAAAAATGAGAAAGTTTCTTTTGTATAGTCATGTATATAAGGTAGCAAGTACGACATCTCCAAGACATTGACGGGTGTTGCCGCCATCGACGTTGGCGTCCGCTTGCATTGTTCTTCCGCACAGCAAAGTCGGAGGGTATTATAGGATTCAACAGACAGAGTTTTACTACTCTCTGGAATGAAAATACAGAGCCGTCTTGACCTACACGACCTTCTCCCATGTGCATCAGAACTGCACGGTGACCATAGCAGCCAAGGTGATAAACACCCCGCACTCTCGTAGCCTGAATATAGGATATACTTCAGGTGAGCATAGTAGAGATGGACTCAAAGTGCACCGTGGTAGCGTCGTAAGAGGACACAAAGTTTTTGATATAATGTATGGCGTCATTTGTGGCCGGCTCGTTGAGGATTTGGCTGGAGTACGATGGCACGGAAATCGAAAGTGGCAAATCAGTGAGTCTTGTGTCTCTGTAAGAGATATCACATACACGCACATCGAAAGTGATCATACAGCGAGTCTTGTGTGTCTCTCTAGGAGGAGATCAGATATCACATACACGTTGGTAGTTCTGCTACGTATGTGTCGTCCGAGAGTTTTGGGATACATCTACCGCACCGTGCGTCGCAGACATCCGTGGACTATTACACGGGACGCCGCTACAGCACGAGGGTGGGAGTATTTGTGAGAGTGTGTGTGTGTCTGTATGTGTGTGTTTTTGTTTGTGTGTATGTGTGCGTGTGCATGTGTGTATGTGTGTATGTGTGTGCGTGTTTGTGTGTGTGCATGTGTGTGTGTGTGTGTGTGTGTGTGTATGTGTGTGTCCATTGAAATATGTGTGTGTGTGTATGTGTGTATGTGTCCATTGACATTTGATTGTACCCGGGAATATATTTTTAAAAATACCACGGGGTGTGTCCATCACAGGGTACGTCGTTTATCGTCAGTCTGGCAGCTGCCATGGATAGATAATATATAGATATGTGTCAAATTCACGAAAGGGGTGGTGAGTTTGTCCACCCACAATCAAACGCTGCTCTCGATGCCTTGCAAACGCGGCTGGAGAATCCGCGGCGTGGCTCCCTCGTTCAGGTCCTGCTCAAACTCGAGCAGCTGGCCCATGAAGTTGAAGTTTGGCGAGATGATGGAGCGCTTGCCTTTGACGAACTTGTAGGCGTCCGCCATTGCCATGCGCGTGTGCTTGAGCAGGTAGGCGATGGTGATGGTGGCCGAGCGAGATACGCCGGCGTGGCAGTGGATGAGGACTTTGGCGTTGTTTTGGCGGGCATCATCTGGAAAAAAGGGGGGACAAAATAGCGTTTAGGAATTGCAATGAGAAGGCCAATCTCTATAAGGTCATAACACTTGCTTTCATTATAATAAGAGTTTGAGAATGACATCAATAAAGATTGTTAAAGACGATCGTGGGGTGCCAGTGTTTGTGTGTGTCTCTGTGTGCGCGCGCGCGTGTGTGTGTGTGTGTGTGTGTGTGTGTGTGTGTGTGTGTGTGTGTGTGTGTTGTTTTTTTGTGGCATGAATATACAAATATGTCAGCCTACTGAGCACGAAAGAAATCCCAAGGATATATTGAACCTCCGAACGTTGAATAGAAAAATGCCCATACCCAATTTTTATGTAAAAATTGGAAGAGGGGACGCGATTTGGGGGGGGGGTATTTTTTTTTTTAAAGAAGAATGCTCATGAGCGAGAAACAGGAAGAAAAACCACGACAGAAAACAGCGGGAGAAGCGAGATAATTCCCAGGTCCCAACGCGGGCGATAACACCAGCGGAACAGACGGGGACAAGACTTGGAGGCGGTACGTGCTGCTAGAGGGTTAGCCCAAACATCCCAAACAGACCGAGTCTGTTGTCTCCTGCCCCCGGCCCCATCTGTCCACAGAGCGGTACCCCGTGATGCTCTCCCCACGTCCAGATGACTGCTGTTGTCAACAAACTTCCGGGGGTGGGGGGAACCTTCCCCCAGATTGACTGGCACCCCGGACGGGTACTTTACAGTCAGGGTGTGCACACAATTGGTCGCTTCTAAGGACAAGTGGGCTATCCCGAAAATGAGAAAATCGAAAGTAAAGTTTTTGCCCCTTGTTCAGTTTTATTAAAAGACAAGGGGAGTTTTCTCTATAACAAACAAATAACCACACCAACGAAACAAAACTTCTCCTATAGGTAGGGCAAAGCCCATTTTTTTCTGTAGGTCAATCCACCAAAAGCCACCAATCCATGTTCTTAGCCTGGTCGAAAGCTATACCGTGACGTCACGGCACGCAAGATCATCCTTTCGACTTCGCTGATTTGCCCCTTTATTAAACACATCGACACCTCATCAGTGGTGTGCATTATTTCGCCGTGAAATGACCACTCGTTACTTTGGTCGTACTATTCGACTTCGATCAAACTGAATGGTGTGCACACCCTATTAGTCACAGCTATCTGGCGCGCGGAGTGAGCACTCTTCACACACTCACACCATCGCACATGCAGCCCATCGGGGGGCCTGTCGCACGTGCAGTTTGTCCCGCTGTTAATCCTAATGGATTAATGCCGATAAGAGGATTTCTGCCGAGGCTCTATCGCGATATCCTGTTGAAACAAGGCCTGTCGCTGCTGCTTTAGTTTGATGTTGCTGTCGTTGTTGGTGGTTGTTTTTCTGTTTAATGCTGGTGTCGGCGGACGCCTCACGTGTGTTGAGCTAAAAACCGAGATTTTACCAACTTGCTCCACGTCATTAATGTCACAATAAATATCCACGGCGACCTCATTAAGGCAAGCATCGGAAGGTGTTGGGACAGAGAGAAAAGAGAGAGAGAGAGAGAGAGAGAGAGAGAGAGAGAGAGAGAGAGAGAGAGAGACAGAGAGAGACAGAGAGAGAGAGAGAGAAGAGAGAGAG